GGTTGTATAATGCCGTAATATCTTTCTATTGAATTCCCTCACGACAGGAAGAAGATGGTTTTAATGAGATGTGCATCATTAAAGCGCTTTTCGGGATTCCTCAGTAGTATGGGCTACGGCATTTCACTACGTTCTATGAGAGCCACGAGCTTGCGTTTTTGATCGTGGGATTCAACATGGGGTTCAGGCAAGAATTGGAAGACTCTACAATAAGTTTGCTATTCAACGTCAGGATAGTTTTTTTTGTAATCCTTTGTTTGAATTCACTGGAACTCACTTGTACGTGTCTGGGGAGCATAATGTTACGTGTCTTTCCCGCACTATTCCCTCTCTGTTTAAAGTGATTCCGAACTGAACATCCGCCCTTTGATAACCTCACCTATGTCATGGACACTAGAAGAAGGGACTACTCCACACAAATGTAAACGGCGGCATATAAAACTTGGAAGACCTCGCACATCTTGACATTTTTCAACTTTTTTGTTCAAGTCAACGACATGCGTTTCTTTACCACTGCTCTTATCCTACTCGCTGCTGTTTTCTCTGTCTCTGCTATTGAAGGTGAGCACTGCGAATATTGTTATCACTATGGCATGTGACATTCTTTTTGGCAGACCCCGAAATTAGTGGCCCAGCGACTCCGAGTCCGGTACTTCGTTTAGACCCTTGTATTGTGTTTTCGCATCTGAGGCTGGTTTGGTTTCTAGAGTCCCAATCCGTGTGGTCCTGACAGATCCGTACGTTGACCCTGTCTTATCTCTCTCGTGCTCAGCTGAGGTTTCGTTTGTAGTGTATGTTTCGTTGGATTCGCTCAACTGGCCTTTGTCTGGTTCGAATTTGGCTGACGATGCTTCATGGTGTGTAGGTCCTCGTGGTTATGTCTGCTGTGGCAAGACTCATCAAGGCGCTGTGTGAGCGCGAGATTTTCCGCTTCTTGCAGTTCTAGTATGTCTGATATGGATGCCATCGTGTCTAGTTGCCTTCCTCATGGCTCGTGCCATGTCTAGGGGAGTGAAAGGTTCACTGAAGAGTGTTGTTGTAGCTTTGGACTACTCGAGGGTGTAGATTGTGTCATGTTGCCTGGAGTTTTTAGATGTCTGAGGTTGCACCTCCTATCAATCATACCACACATTATTGATCCATATCAACAATCAGGTGCTTGAGAACGATTTTCCAGAGTTACCCAAATAGACTATAGCATCGAGGGCTCTCAGCGTTATTTTGACTAAGATCGAGCAGGTGCGACCGTCCAGCATCGGAACGTTGGTCGATGGAGTGGGAGGCAGTGGGAGTTCAATTTTTGGAAGCGAATATCTGGACGTTAAGAGGATCTGAGATGGGGTACTGACAGGCGAGTAATATAACGGAAAGACGAACAGAAAAGAAGAGTATCAAGATGGAGGTCTCCTCAGCATCCGCGAAAATCGACGAAGCTCGACAATCATGAACAAAGGCGTTACGACATCAGCAACATCAATGACAAATTGCATAGTCGAACCATTCTTCCTCTTGAATCCCTCGGGTGCACACATATTCGGCCAACAGTGACCAACGCCCCCTCTTCGGCCGACGAACTGGGGCCGTATCACTTCCTAAAGCCATTGCCTACATGTACAGTTGGGTGGTCAACCCAATCCTATATCTATTTCATTTTCAGTCCAAGCGCCCATGTTTTTCTACGTCGGCAACCAATAACGAGCAATCTACGCGCACAACCAGCCGTGGTAGGCCGGAACACGTTCGCCGTCAGGATGGGGGCCTAGGCATGAGCCAAGTCTTCTGCATCTCCGTACTATGCATCCGCACCAACGACTAGGATATTCCAGCAGGATCCATGGGCAGTTTGATTTCGACATGGTCAAACTAAGTTGATGCTCGCTTAATGGGTGACGTCACGCGATACATGAGATCACGTGCAGCATGTTCTTTTCGCGTTTTCAATTTTGATTTGGTACAATGTGACTCGGATATCGATCTCGCTGTAATCAGAATCAATCATCCTGGCTTCCTATCTCTTCCATAAACGGCCATTGGGTCTTCTCCGTCCCTTCCTCCGCTATTCACTCCATCAAAAAAATCAATTGCACCACCACCGACCGTGTCAACGACTAGCGCTCTCTCGACTATTTACCATGAGCGCAAGCACAAGCAGGACACCACTGCCAGCAGTGCCGGACACAGACCCCTCGCGATGCGTCCTTGACTCGTACCGGACATCGATTGCTCAGATTGTAGGCGATGCGCTGGGTCTGAGCGTTGATCAGGTATATCCGGGCGTACAGTATGGCAAGAAGGGCGTGGACTTTACGGTCGCATTGCCTAGGTTCCGGTTACCTGGTTCTGTGAATGATTTAGCTAAAAAGGTTATAGATAAGGTGTGTACGCCCACCTCCGGACGAAAGTACCAAGGTACTAATCAATCTATGACAGTTCCAAGCAAACGATTATGTCTCCACAATTCAACACGACAAAGCCTTCCTGCATTTTACGCTCAACACAAACAACCTCGCACGGGATGTGCTCACGCAGGTGCACGACTTGGGCGAGAAGTTTGGCACGAACGAGACTGGAAAGGGAAAGAAACTCGTCATCGAGTATTCATCTCCAAATATCGCCAAGGATTTCCATGTTGGCCATTTGCGGAGTACGATTATCGGTGCATTTTTGGCAAATTTGTATCGCGCGTGTGGGTGGGAGGTTGTTTCACTCAATTATTTGGGAGATTGGGGTACCCAGGTGCGTCTCTGATCTTCCTTCGTTAGAAAACTGGCGAGTTACTGATTCGCTGGCATGTAGTTTGGTTTGATCGCAGTCGGCTTCGAAAAATACGGCGACAAAGAACTCCTCGAAAAGGATACAATCAAACACCTCTTCGATATCTACGTCAAAATCAACAAAGACGCTGCAGAGGACCCACAGGTCAAAGCTGACGCTGCGGCATGGTTCAGGCGCATGGAAGATTACGACCCCGAAGCGCTGGAGAACTGGAAGGTGTGGCGCGAGTTTAGTGTTAAGAAATACGAAGGAGAATATGACCGATTGAACGTCCATTTCGATGTGTATACGGGAGAGAGTGCGGTTTCGCAGAAGAGTATGGACAAGGCATTGGACCAACTAAATGAAATGGGGTTGATTGAGGAGAGTGAGGGCGCCAAGTTGATCAATCTCGAGAAGTGGAAGTTGGGGAAGGCTGTGGTTAGGAAACGAGGTGCGTTATGCGTTCTTTATACTCGAAATGACTGGTTCTAATTTCTGTGCGCGTAGACGGAACATCGATTTACCTCACTCGTGATATCGGCGGTGCGATCGAACGCTACGAGAAATACAAGCCCGACAAGATGATCTATGTCGTATCGTCACAACAAGACCTGCACCTCGCGCAGTTTTTCAAAGTGCTCGAACTGATGGGATTCCCCTGGGCAAAGGACCTCTTACACATCAACTATGGTCTCGTGCAGGGCATGAGCACGCGAAAGGGCACAGTAGTGTTCCTGGAACAAATTATACACGAAGCGATGCAGACGATGCATGAGCAAATGCAGAAGAACGAAGAAAAGTACGCCGCGATTGAGGACCCAGAGACCACGAGTCGGGAGATCGGGATTACGGGTATCAAGATTCAGGATATGGCTGCCAAGAGGTCCGTTTGCGCCCCAGTTTAATGCCTCATCGCCCCAGTGTGTTCTGACGTATTTGTAGGATTAACAACTACACATTCAACTGGGACCGCATGCTCTCCTTCGAAGGTGACACAGGCCCATACCTCCAATACGCCCACGTCCGCCTTGCCTCCATCGGTCGCAAAAACCCGCATCTCCTCCCCCTCCCGCCGCCATCGCAAATTAACACTGACCTGCTGGCAGAGTACCCACAGGCGAGGGAGATCGTGTTTTTGCTAGGATCATACCCGGACGTGGTGCTTACGGCGCTGAAGACCCAGGAGCCGAGTGGGGTGGTAACGTTTTTATTTAGGCTTGCACATGCGATTTCGAGTGCGTGGGATGTGGTTGTTGTGCTCGGGGAGAAGGATTTGGAGAAGGCGAGGGCGAAGATGTTCTTGTTTGAGAAGGCCAGGGAGGTTATCGCTGCTGGGATGAGGTTGTTGAGTATCAGGCCGTTGGAGAGGATGTGAGGACGCTATGATATTTTCCTGTGGAATACAGTAATTAGAATTTGGGTTGGCGTCTGCGTGCTGTCACTGAGGGTACCAAACATCATTACCTCCAGTCTATCATCGCCTGTCTAAATCCCGCTCATTTCTCTTGCCTCGTATTTATCTTCAATATGTTA